TGGAGTGGTTTTAGCAAGCCGACCCGAAGCCGAGGCCTCTCAGTGCTTCTACCCTTTGAGGTGAGAACACATGAGGATACCGCCTCCACACAAAGGCTATAGAATCTAGCGAACGTGTTGGGGGTCGCCCAGCCAGCGAGGCGCCACGAGCTAGTACCCAGGTGGATGCAACACTTCTAGTTGAGTGAGCTCGTAACCTGATTGGGCAGAGCATACCCTGTGCCTGATAAGCCAGGGTGATGGCATCCACTATCCAGTGGGCCATCCTCTGCTTAGAGACGGCATTCCCCGTCTGCCGGCATCCATGACAGACAAAGAGCTGGTCTGAGGTCCTGAAGCTTTGTGTCCAGACTACGTAGCATCTTAATGCTCGGACGGGACAGAGCAAAGCTAAGGCTGAGTCTGCCTCCTCCGGGGGCAGCGCTTGCAGGCTCACCACCTGATCCTTAAAGGGAGTAGTGGGAACCTTGGGCACATAGCCGGGCCGGGGCCTCAGGGTTACCTGGGAGTCAGCCGGCCCAAACTCTACGCACGATTCGTCGACTGAGAATGCGTGCAGGTCCCCTACCCTCTTGATGGAGGCCAATGCAAGCAGGAGCAAAGTTTTCATTGACAGAAACTTTAGCTCGATTGTCTGCAAAGGCTCAAATGGACCCTGCTGTAGTGCTCTGAGCACTAGAGTCAGGTCCCAAGAGGGTATAGAGGGGGGCCGTGGAGAATTTAGCCTTCTCGCCCCCCTAAGGAACCTGGTGATCAGGTCATGCTTCCCTAGCGACTTCCCTTCTACGGGGTCGTGGTTAGCAGCAATCACAGCGACGTAGACTCTGAGGGTGGAGGGAGACAGCCTTCGCTCCAACCCTTGCTGCAAGAAGGACAGCACGACTCTGACCGGGCATCTTTGGGGGGTCTTCTCGGTGAGAAGAGCACCACTCGACGAACAGGTTCCACTTCAAGGCATAAGCGTGTCTCGTAGACGGTGCTCTGGGCGAAGTGATGGTGTCAACTACCTCTTGGGGTAGGTAACCTAGAACCTCCGCGTCCCATCCAGATGGGAAGTTTCCTGAGGTCTGGACGCGGGTGCCACAGGGTGCCCTGTCTCTGAGTCAGTAGATCCTTCCTCAGAGGAATCGGCCAAGGAGGGGCTGTCACGAGGAGCATTAGTTCTGGGAACCAGGTCCGGGTGGGCCAATAGGGCGCCACTAACAGGACCTGCTCCTCGTCCTCCCTGACCTTGCACAGTGTCTGTGCTAGAAGGCTCACTGGGGGAAACGCATACTTGCGTAGGCAAGTATGTTGATGTATGCAACGGTCGCAGCATTGTCTGTACGGACTAGTAAGTGCTTGCCTCGTAAGCGCCCTTTGAGACGGATCAAGGCAAGGCGCACTGCCAGCAACGTGACGCAATTGATGTGCCAGTGCAGTTGGGGGCCCGTCCAAACCCCTGACACGGCTGCCGCAATGAGAGCATGACTCATCCACGAAAGCCACCTCAGCGTGCTTAATGCCCAGACACGAGAGGCAGCGATCGTGACCATCACCCGGCGCCAGGTAACGACCACATCCAGAAACGCATGGATGGAAGGGCATCTTTGAAAAGACGTTCCACCCGTGAATGCTCTTTAGAACTGCTCTTTTAGTGTGCTGAAGCGCACAGGGGAGATGGCCGCCTGCAACACAATACAGCCTGATGTGTGCAACCCACTCGACATGGGACATGGGAAGAACCACAGCCGCTGAAGCGCCGTACCACCAGCACGAGAGCTTCCTAAGAGTGTGCTTGTACTCGAACTCGTAGTTTCACTGAAGCAGAAGATCAGGAGCAGAAACGCTCGGCTCCGAAGCGAAAAGCTGAATATGCGCTGCACCAGTTGCCTACTTATACTCATGCTGTGATCACCGACAGCTGGATGCAATAATCGCATGCCAATGTGCATTGGCTCATTTAGTTTACACTCAAAGTGGATTGGTCTCTCTAAGCGAGATCCCAATTTGTCGGTCATCTGACGTTGACATCGAGAGTGACCGAATGAAAGGAATCTGACTGATAAATTAATTGATAATTCCAGCATACATTAGCACTTACACTTAAGAAAAGCATGCTCAATTTCAACATCTTCAATCATGAAATTACACTCACCTCAAAGCTAAATTTCCTGGAGAACTGTGGTGGAAAATTCCTAACTCTTAAGTTTTTCCAAATCTAAACGTCACAAATAAAGTAAAACAATAATTTCATTATTTATAACAATTTGCATACTTGAAGTCCAGACACAAAATGAATACATGGACTGTATTATTAAATAAAGATGAACCAAACCTTGCTCTTTTCAGACACTATGGCAAGTTTCCAGATGAGTTCAAAGTATATGAGACCCAAAGCATAAATATCCACCTTTTTGTCATAGGGTGTGTGAGCCACCTAAACATTTAGATAGGAACAATGAAAATTTAACTTGAATAAAACACTTAAGGCATTTAAATGCTGTAAAAATCATTGCAATCAACATGAAATCAAAATATGCTTTTGGTAATGCACATTCCTAATCTCATTGTGCATGATTCACAAATATTTCTAATGTTCTTTTTGAAGAATGCCTCTGAAATGACTTTTTCTTGACCTGACAACATAAATCTCTCCCCACAAACCAGCAGATGACTTTTCACAATCTATTCCCAATGGATAAAATCAAGTTCTACATTTTTCATTGAATAAATATCCATATTTACTTGTAAAATCATAACATTACAGTTAAGTAAAATGATTTGTGAATAGCAAGTCATGTTTTAATGTATGCCTCCTGACTCACCTGCTCTGGGCTCATGTAAATACGGGTTCCTGTCCCTTTAGTCCGTTCCAACAGTTGCTCGTCATTGTCATTTTCTGCTGTGGTCACAAGGCCAAAGTCTCCAACCTTTACTCTTCCCTTACTGAACATTATGTTCAAAGGCTGAAATAAAAAGTGATCTTTTTCATTACTTTAAATAAAATAAATGTTAACTGAGACATGGGTGTAGAATACAGAGGGGACATGCTCCCCCCCCTCCCTCCCTCCCCTTTTAACTCTTTCCCCGCCAGTATTTTTGAAAAAAGTTGCCAGCTACTGCCAGCGATTTTGATGATTTTCACTCAAATTTGATGGCCTACAGTATATTTTGCTTTATGAATATTTGAATATGCTATATGCTCTGATAAAGATCAGAGCCTCTACTTTTAAACAAAAAAATCTGTTTTATTCTAGCTTAAAGCATTCTTTTTTTATCAACACTTGAATATAGGTAGGTTTCATAAAAATGCATAATTTTGAGCAAAAAGGTGAGAAAAATCACATTTTTATTTAAAAAAAAAACTACATCTGGATAATATTCAGTACGATTATCAAAGCATAAATCCAGTAAATCGCTTCCATCAACACCTCCAAAGCTTGCACAGACATATACCACTTCCTGGATCAACATTTTACTCCGTAACATTATGCAGTTTTCATTTACAGTATATGCCGTCTATTGCTGATGATCGCATTATTTTTCATATGCATCTGTTTACATAAGAGATTGCTCGTTTCTCCGTCCTGTTCAGGTGTTTTTGTTCTGGAGGTTTTGTACTTGTTCAGAAGATGTGTAATAGCGACCCCGAGTGTATCACAGTAAAAACACGAAATGTTTTTGGCGGGGAAGCATTGTCTTCTAAAAGATGAGATAACTTGTCAATAGTGGGGAAAGAGTTAATAAAAAAAAAAGTAAATTTGTCCCCTGCACTTTTTCCAGGCAAGTGTGTTCATGTAGAGGTAGCAAGGGCCAGTGTGAATAAATCTAGATTATTAATGCAAAGAAACAAGATAGTCTATGTATGACCAAAACGAGACGATGTGAACATTACGGAACGCTTAACACTCTCATGCAGTGAATGTTTCATTCATACTCGAAGCCGGAGGGTGCTCTCCTGCAGAAAGTACAAAACGGACTCATAGAACTAATAACTTATGATGTGCCAGGAAATGCCTAATATGGACAAAGGCATCCTGATATCGCTGTAGCTAAAAAAAAGGTCATTTCAAGTAATTTCCAGGTAATAAATAAATAAAAATAGTGCTAAATGATATAACATTTATTATAGTATAACTATTCTGCCTTATGTGTCATAAAACTGTCATTAGGAAAATATAGGAAAAATATTATAGAGTACAAATTATTGGTTATTGTACAGCAGTGTATTTGATCTCTTAGCCAATTAAAAGAAGAAAAAAACATGAAGGCACTAAGGCATTATGGCTACGCCCCTGAACTGAGATATGTCAAAAAAACTTTAGCTCAGACTTTAGCTTAACTTTTCTAATTATCATTTTTATATTCAACTTGAAGTACCAAAACTAAAAACTGTAATAAAAATGTGTAATTCCTATATAGGCATATTAAAAAACAGAAGCACACATAAATGACTCAACTTTAAGTAAAGTAATTCTTAAAATAAAAATGGAAAAAAACTAAAATATGAATAAAACTATAATAGTACATCTTACTAAAATAACACATTCAGATTTACTCTCCTTATTTGAAAATATTGCAGAATATGCAGCATTTAATGTCATGGGCAATGTTTCCTCTATTTTTTCTCTTGATGACCAAAAGTTTTCTCTATTGGGCGGACATTTCGGCCACCTGAGCAAAAACATTCTTTATACCAGACCTAAACAGCGCGCACACAAAAAAGTGTGTAACTTTTAACTTTAATGTGCTATTTATATTTGATTTGACCCTTGATGTAACTAAATAATGCAAAAGAAATTCTACTCTATTCTCTCTATAATATGAAAAAAATGAAGCAGATATTGCCCATGAATTCCCTTTTTGAGGTCACTTATTTATTAGGTATATAATATAAAAACAAACTGAAGCATTTAAACTAATAGAACAGCAGTCATGGCCTGATGGTTAGAGAGTCGGACTTGTAACCCAAAGGTTGCGAGTTCGAGGCTCAGGTCCGGCAGGGATTGTAGGTGGGAGGAGTGAATGACCAGCGCTCTCTTCCACCTTCAATACCACGACTGAGGTGAGACCCTTGAGCAAGACACCAAACCCCAAACTGCTCCCCGGGTGCCGCAGCATTGGCTGCCCACTATTCCGGGTGGGTGTTCACAGTGTGTGTTTGTTTACTTCTCACTGCTGTGTGTGTGCACTTGGATGGGTGAAATGCAGAGCACAAATTACAAGTATTGGTCACCATACTTGGCCACACATCATGTCCTTTCCTTCGCTTCCTGTGTATAACTGTAAATGTCTCGGCATTTTGTTACCATTCGGTGCCCATCATCTGCTATTTTAACCATTTAATCAAGCCACTCTTCTTTAAAACATGATGCCGTTTTATTTCACGTCACTGCGTTTGCGTTGCCTCTCGTGTTGAGCCATTTCATCTGCAACTCATTTGGCGCACACCATTCTCGTTCTATGAAACCTGTAAACCGCATTCACCATTTCTAACTCTATAGTGACACAAACTATAGCGGTTTACTGGAATTCAATCTAATTGCTTTTATTTTTGCATGTCCTGTGTGCAGCATATTATGTGCGGCCGCTCACACATGGAGCTTAGAGGGAACATTAGTCATGGGCCCTATAATACACCCGGCACAATGCGGTACCAGGCGCGACGCAAGTGTATTTTGCTAGTCTCAGCCCCAAGCAGTTATCATTTTCACATCCTACGCCACGTTGTTTAAATAGCAAATGCATTTGCGCTCATGGACGTGCTGGTCTGAAAACAAGGTGTGTTCAGGCGCATTGTTATTTTGAGGCAACTGAAATGGACTGCGCCACTGACCAAATGATATCTGGTCTAAAGTCAATGCCGCAGTATTTATTTTTATTTATTTAAAGGGCACGTTAGTAATATGCGCCTATAGACGGGTAATGCGAGTACATCTGCCATGGACCGACTGCAACTGGCTTTTAGGGGGAATGGGAGATGAGACTCTGATTGGTTTATTGCACGTTATGCCCAAAACACACCCATGACTTTTTAAGAGAATAAGTACAACCCTTTTGGATTCCGAAACGGTTGACATTAGAGGTTCAACTGTAATTTTACGACGCTAGACACAGAATAGCATACGCTGTTTACATTCAGTGGATATTCTCCAAAATGACACCAGGGTTTTTGTTTACGGTTGAACCCCTGATGTCACATGGATTATTTTACCGATCTTTTAAGAGAATAAGTACAACCCTTTTGGATTCCGAAACGGTTGACATTAGAGGTTCAACTGTAATTTTACGACGCTAGACACAGAATAGCATACGCTGTTTACATTCAGTGGATATTCTCCAAAATGACACCAGGGTTTTTGTTTACGGTTGAACCCCTGATGTCACATGGATTATTTTACCGATCTCCTTGCTACGTTTCTGGAACTTGATCGTGATAGTGACATTGCCGTCTATGGGAGGGTCAGAGAGCTCTCAGAATTCATCAAAAATATCTTCATTTGTGTTCCGAAGATGAACGGAGGTCTTACGGGTTTAGAAAGAAATGAGGGTGAGTAATTAATGACAGAATTTTCAATTTTGGGTGAACTAACCCTTTAACGGCAGATTGATTTTGTGCAGCACTAGCAGTATGATCTTCACTAGGGGAAAAGCATATTTGCGCTTCTTGGGCCAACGACCCGAGAGAGCATCCCCCCTCCAGGGGCACATTCATCAGCGAGAAGAACAGCTGGCAATGCGCGTTCTCCTCTGAGGCAAACAAGTTGATCTCCGCCACTCCGAAAAGGCTCCAAATCAGCTGAATAGTCTGCGGGTGCAGCCTCCACTCCCTGTGGACTGGGCCACCCCTGGACAGCATGTCCGCGTCACAATTCTGACTGCCGGGAACATGCATTGCTCGAATCGACAGAAGGTTTCTGTCCGCCCAAAGGAGGAAATGCTCCGCCAGCCTTTGAAGTGAGCATGAACGAATACCTCCCTGATGGTTGATATAGGATACCACCGTCGTGTTGTCTGTCCGAACTAGGACGTGTCAATCCTTTGTCAGTGGAAGAAAGCCTTGCAAAGCTAAAAATACTCCCTCACTCTTTCAGAGGAATAAGCAGGCGACGTTCTTTCGCTGCAAAGAAGATCTGGAGCGCGGCAGAGGTGCAGCGGACCGATCTCTCTTTGGAAGGAAGTGGCTCATTGCCTTTGACTGTTTCTGGGCCTCCAGAAACTTCTCAGAAAACGAGCCATCATGTCAGAAGTGAGGGGGACAGAAATGTTATATATACAGTGGGTACGGAAAGTATTCAGACCCCCTTAAATTTTTCACTCTTTGTTATATTGCAGCCATTTGCTTTTTTTTTTATATATATTAAAATATATATATAACATTACAATATAAAATTTCTTTAATCTATATAACCTACCAGTCAACAGTTTTCGGCCCAGACAGAAGAGACACATAGGGCTGCACGATTAATCGTATTTTAATCTCGATAACGATATCCACCTTTCTCGATTAATTAAAAACAATCGTCACGATATTGGCTGGCTCGTTATTTATCCTGAAAACGTGTTTTTAATTTGGCATTTGCATTATCTTGCATTACTAACAAGTCTTCAGTAGCGTTCATGCTTGTGGTTGCCAGATGTGAAGAGATTAAGTCCCCAAAACAGAGCTTTTCTCCTTTAAGGATACACTTTCTGCCCGGTGTTTTACCTAATATGTGCAATCTGGCAACCCTGTGCACGCTGACTGATTGCGGAACAAGCGCTGATGATATGAAAACATACATGTGCTGGAGTTTAGCGATCTCTCCACAGCGAATTCTGCTTACATGAAGTGTCATACAGCCAATGTGTGTTTTTTCACAAGCCATTTCTGCTGCTTGTGTAACCAAATCTGCATATATTGGAATTATATTAAGTTATATTAGGAGTTTCTAAAGGTTTTACCAGTTTTCATAAAATGAAAACTGAATGGCAATGTTGTTATCAGTGTGTATTAACGATCTTTGAGCAAATTTACTGCGTGATCTGAGTGGCTTGTCTTATTTGTGAACAAATTGTCACTTAGAAAATCTAATGTGAATACAGATTACAAAACACTAACCAAAACCATGAGTTTTTTATTATAATAGTTGGTTAAAAGGGTCCTATTACACTTTTTCAAATTTTTGTTAGTGTGTAGTGTGTACAGGTGCATCTCAATAAATTAGAATGTTGTGGAAAAGTTCATTTATTTCAGTAATTCAACTCAAATTGTGAAACTCGTGTATTAAATAAATTCAATGCACACAGACTGAAGTAGTTTAAGTCTTTGGTTCTTTTAATTGTGATGATTTTGGCTCACATTTAACAAAAATCCACCAATTCACTATCTCAACAAATTAGAATACTTCATAAGACCAATAAAAAAAACATTTTTAGTGAATTGTTGGCCTTCTGGAAAGTATGTTCATTTACTGTACATGTACTCAATACTTGGTAGGGGCTCCTTTTGCATGAATTACTGCATCAGTGTACAACAAACGGCTCGTTTGGACTACAGCGTTTGGTTTCCGGGCCTTGTGATATCATAAAGCAGCTCATTAGAATTTCATTACAAATAATTCCCGTCTTCAGAAATTCGAATGGTTGGGGGGTGGGGAGGGGCGAGGTCGTGGTTAGAACGCTTGGTTGAGTGAGCGCATTAGACTAGACGACGAAGAAGAAGTGCTGCTGCAGAGTTAGTGCATCAGAGAAAACCAAGAAGAAGAGC